GCATCAAGGCTGCATGACCAAAGACTGGCACCTACCGCCCACGCCGCCCCTACCTTCGCCCTAGCCCCCCAGTGTCGGGATCCCGCCATGTATAACATTGCGGCCATTCCAAATCTAAAAAGGAATTGTTTTTAAATTTATTGTTCTGACCTTGAAGGAGGTATTGATTGCTTCTTTAGTCCTATATCGACGCAAACCGCAGCCTCGTAGACGTAAATGGCCATTACACCTTCGTCGGTCTTATTAGTTATTAAAAAAAGGATTGCCCTGTGTATGGCTAGTCGTGGGCGGCACAATAGTTCAAGCGATCACGTTTTATATTATGTGGGAGTAATGGGTTGAAGGATTTACTCGAAGCGGCGGAGGCGAGGGGCAGATTTTATGGAGTCCTTGCCGTCAAGGATGTTAAAAGGGGGGGCGGGGGTTGCGGAGTGCGGTAGGTTCATTGAGAGCCGCGGATGAATGGGCGCGATGAGTCACCGGATCGATACCGCCCGCCCGCCCTGCCGCGGCTGCGTGGAATGTCCCGTTTGCAAAATGACGTTTTTTAAGCGACCTGCCAGACATAAATTTCTAATTAGCTTCTGGAATACATTCGGGCGTGGCTTTGGGAATCTAGAAAATGTATTGTCGTTTATAAATATATTATCTTTTTAAACATTATTTCGTTTAGTACTATTACGTAATATTACCTCATAATTATTGAGTTACTTCTTTCGTACAATACAAACGGGGTATTTATTATATGCAATGCAGAACACTACAGTCCATGTTCATAATTGGTTAGCCATAGATAATTCGGACTGGATTGGCATTTATGACGGAATGTACCGGCTGCCGTTATTGTTACCATATTGTCATTGGTCCGTCTAACTAAATATGGCTAACAATGATGTTTCTTATTGCCTACTCCATCAAAACTTTGTTGTTGATAATTGAAAACAGATTATTTCTGGCTTGTTTAGGCGATGCGAGAGTATATACCAGTTTAAATTCTGAAAAGCCATTATAATCATTGTAAACGAACACAAATTAGGTTACTAAGTGGCTATGAATTTTACTGCCATGCTGTATTTTCGTGATTCAATCACATTTGCAGGAATTTCATTATCCTACAGTTCAAGCCGATGATACCCTTTATTGAAACCCCGACAATGTACAGAATGATATTGCGTTTCCAGTTGACCGCCTTCTTTTCAATGTTTTCTATTGATTTTGTGCCTTTTACTTTCCAGTACACTGCCTGTCCAAATTTTCGAAGAATCATATGCATGCAAAATTTGCATATTTAGTTTAAGTCCATCACATTCTAAGTACCTAAGCTTTTGATACAGTAAACCACTACTAGTTAATTTTTAAGAAATTGCTGTTGTTAAGGGTTTCAAAAAAGAAATTAAGAGCTTTTAATGAAGAGCGAATTTCTGAGATATCTAGTCATATTTTATATCAAGTGATCCGCAAGAATCACTTATCGGCCTTATTTTATATAACGCTTTTATATTATACAATTTAATACGTACATAGTTAATTACTCCATTCGTAATAAATATTTAATAACCGGCATAAAAAAGGAGGTTATCAATTCGAGATGTATGTATGTATGTTTGTCCACGGATATCGCTAGACGGATAAGCTAGACGTCTCATTGCAATGATTCTTTTCTTTTCTTATTTGATTGCTTAACTTTCAACTTAGTGTACACTACAAGTTTCATCAAAATCGGTACAGTAGTTTTGAAGATATAACCTGTTTAAAATCTAAGGTATTTATAAAAGGAGTAAAAAATTAACCGCCTTATGAAGGAGTTAAAATTGGTGACGTTCTTCTTAACCAACTTCAAACAAACCTTAAAAGAAGTAGGTAATCAATTTGACTTATATACATATATGTAATTTTGATGGAATAATGGGGCAATATTCATATATTCGTTACTTTATATGCGCTTTTAACTAAACACGTGTACTATATTTTGTAGATGGGTAATATGTATGTATGTGTGTCTATATGTTTGACAATTTATTTCTCGGAAATTAGACATTGGTTTGAAATGATACTATTTTTTTTGATTATCTATTTTTCAATTTGAGAGAAAAAAGAGACTAAAGTAAATATAAGTATTTTTAAATACAGACGAAGGTAACTATTATTTATTACATGTTTAAAGTATGTAATATGAAACGACGGTAACTTCTATTATTAAAAAAAACTGACTTCAATCGTCATAAAGAAAAACGACTGAAAGAGAGAAATAATACCATACATTTTTATTTTCAATAAAATCAAAACACGAAAAGTGGATCGACAATTTTTTTTTCGAGGTGGGTGTAAAATATTTACAAGAAAAATATCATGTATGATAAGAGAAATAGATTTTCTGATAATGCTGTTTTACTTCTTACTAATGACACGATGGGAACCGACCTTAAAAAAATTTTGGTGTATCCGCTTTTTGTGTTTTGATTTTTTGAAGATAATAATTTCTAGTATTATTTCTCTTTTTTCAGTCGTTTCTCTTTAATAAGATTTTTTAAGTCGGTTTACTTTTTTCGTTTCTTTACTCCAGTGCTCTAAGCGAGTTTTACGTAGCGTAAAATTACGGTTTTTTATTATTCAACCATACACTGAAAGGGGATTAGTGGCGAACTTTGGATGTAATGATGTATTCTATAAATACTTATCGTAATTATCTGTATTCGTGTATCTGATAAAGGCCGCGTGCCATCTCAGCGGCGTAATGTGACTTTCAATCTTACCACAATCGACCGCACTTGAATGGACTACGTATATGAATGAGGCCGAAACAATGAATGGAACTCCTTGTTTATTTTAGATGATAGTTTGCGTCAACGGTTAACGCATAAGTTATAATTGCAATTAGAAGCATCCAGGTAGGTACGTGCTAAATGACTGACCATGTATTGTACATGTTTATTGGTTTTTGCTTATTCGCGATTGTGATCTAAATGTTATGTCTATATTCTTAGGTTATTGATTGTTGAAGTTTGGTTTATCTTGCCTACCCTGCAATACAAGCGTCTTTGGTGGCGTGATTTTACAATTTACTATTCAGCTGATATCCTTGATTTTTAAAATAATGACTGATTTTCAATAGTTTAAAAATAATGACAACCCTGAAGTACGTTGGCGAAAAACAGTATTTTTTTCCATCTAACACTGAAACAAATTATTTATAAAAAATCGAAAATTAATTCAGGCGGCGATTTCACAGACATACTGTTTACCCTACTTCAAATTAAGGTTATTGAATTCGTTAACCGCCCATGTAGTTTTTCAGATTTTTTTTCGATATTTTTTTTTAAAGTTAAGTAGCTCGGTGACGTATCATCAAGGGGGAGAGTTTAAAAAAGCTGTAAAAAATATCACGTGATTAATGGACGGCCCCTAAGTTATTTTAGCATGGCATGGGTGACCAAAAAATTATTATCTCGAGCTACTCCGTGCTGCGTGATCACACGTAAAGCCATTGGTTCCGGCTGCATTTGCAATCATTGTTATTATTATTATTATCTTATCATCACTCTCCAATCCGTATTGGGCCAGCGTGAAGCCATCCTCCTTAAACGTCCATAAGGAAAGCCTGAGCTCCTGCATTGGGTCGTAAAAGTTTGTGACAAATACATACAAAACACAAATCAGTCAAATTGTTAACCTCTTTTCCGTCGGTCCGTCAAGTCAGTTAAAAATGAAATAATCTAACAGTTATAATGGTATCAAGTGACGCTTTCGCATTCATAATAAATATGTGTAAAAACATACATACATACATGAAAATTAATAGCATAGCAAAACCGTCGTGTAGCAACGCTTGCGTTGTGTTTCGTCGTGTGACTGAGGGTACCGGCGGCCCAACCCCTCCCTATTCCCTTCTCTCTACCCCTCAACCCTTCCCTCCCTATGATCATATTCGTCCCTCAAAGGCCGGCAGCGCGCTTGTAGCCCCTCTGGTGTTGCAGGTGTCCATGGGCAACGGTAATCACTTACCATCAGGTGATCCGTCTGCTCGTCTGCCCCCTATCGCATAAAAATAAAGAAAAGAAGCAGCAAACACATAAGTCCAAGTCGTGGTCACAGTTACGACGTCCAAATGGCGTCATTTGGCTTCCATTATGAGTTTTGTTATTTATTGTGTAGTAACTCATTTAACGACTATATATGTAGTCGGTACAATCTAAACAATCATATACATATATAAAGAAGTATAAAATTATTCATAAATCAACCCGTAAGTTATAGCATTAATAAAAGTAATGTAAATTATAATAAAAGAATACTCTAAATAGAGTAATTGTTATTCTAATTTAATTATTTTATATTTGAGCTGTTGTCATTTCTGAGAAAGATTTTTTTTAAATGGCAACTTGTACTTACATCTAGACGGTTATAATCCAGTTCCTTTTGTGTGAAAATTGTAAAATTACCATTTTTGATTGTAATCAGTTTTGTAAGTCGGAATAAAAAAGCTATTTTATAGTTTTTTTTCTGTTTAAATTTATTTATTAGTATTTAATAATATTAATATTTTAACCTATCTGGTCTTAGTCTCTTTGTTTTTTTTTTTCAAATTTTCTTTATTTGAATTTATTATTGCAATTGAAATAAACAATATCTATTTATATTTCTATTAAAACTATCTTAATTCGATTTAAAAATTACAGACTGTAATAATATGAGGACATTCCGTCTTGGTTGCTCTGCTCCTGTGCAACCTTACGGTTCAATAGGTTATTACGTCATAAGTTACTAATACTTCTATCCATGTGTAATTGCGCTTTAATATTATTATATGCCAGGACTTCGTGGGGTGAATTAGTTAAGTAATCTGACTGACTGAATGTCTACTATGGGAGCAACACAGAATTCACGAAAAATAATCAGCTGTTTCATACAAAAATTGTAATACTTACAATTGTTGCAGTAATGAATACCCTAGCATATAATTATATTACACCTTATATATAAATTAATTTTTATTTTCACAGGTGACTTTGAGGATTTCCACTGTTCATATCCCGAGTGGTGCAGCGAAGCAGGCGCGCTTCACGTACCACATCTGCCCCTAATGGGTCTGCGGTAAGTATCATATACACTACATATATTACGTAATCACTCACTGCCTGGATACAAAAGCTCAAGTTTTATAAAGTACACACAGCAGCACATGCCAATTTCGATTTAGAGGATGACGAAGTGATTAATCCGTGGTGTAGGAGGCAGGGCCGACTGGACATCACGATGAAAGAGAAAAAGAGATGAAATTAACTCGCCTATCGTTAAGAGAAAAAGAGGATCATCAATGAAAAAGTTTACTATTTTTTTTCAGTCGCGTTTCGTTTATTACTCGATGGAGAGCACTAGAAAATCTTCTATTATTATGGTTTTGTATCTATGTATTAAAGCGTAACATTAAAAAACCCTAATAATATATTTTTAGATAATGAAACGAAAAAATCTTAAAGCGTTTAATAGAATGTATCTACTTAGTATGTCTCAATAAGTAGGACGTAAGCCTCATCACAATATATACCAAAAAGAGGTACCTACTAACTATTTATCTATGCTAATATTCAACATTTCCATCGGTCGCTACGCCCGCATGCGGGTGCGGTGATTTCTGAACTTGTTTTCATTAGACGTTCATTGACACTCATCGATTTACAAACTATTACAAGCTCATTTACATTGGTCGATAGTGCCCGCATGCGGAGTGCAAGCGATATTTGTGATTTTTTTTTGTGATTTGTGATTGCCTTCCATTGGTTTATCGACTGCTTTAAGCTTATTGACATTGGTCGATAGGGCCCGCATGCGGAGTACGGTAATTTTTTTATGTGCATTAGTGTTTGACTGAAACTGAAAGAGTTTGTCAGCCAGTGATATTAGCCCGTAATAAATATGCCATTTTAAAATATGGAACCGACTTTAAATTAAAAAAAAAAAACGAAAAATAATGCTTATTTTAAAAGCGGTTAAATTTTTTAGAAACATTGAAGTCGGGGTTAGGTGTGGTTTTTTATATAATCCTACTGAATATCAAAAATAATTTTGATGATGACATAATCATAGTTTATCTTCTGAATTCGTAAAATACAACGTTTCCCAAACATTTCTGGTTCACTGACTCCTAAAATTACATATGTTTTCGAGGGACCCCTTTCAATATATTTCAAACCACTATATGTGTACATATTTAAAAAAAATTTCATAAAATTTTCGAAGAGTAGACTTTTGCATTATATAAATACACCACATTCTAGGTATATTTTTACATTTATATTACTACAAGCCTATTTAACCAGGATTACAACAATTTTTAAGTTGACTAAGTAATTGAATTGTAATTCCACTGGTACATATTATTAGCATTGCAAAAACTGCGGGCACTCAGGTTGAGAAACACTGCTCTAATGAAACTTGAAATTAAAAATAAATTATGACTAAATTCTGAAGCGGCCATTAATATTTATCTTAATCCGGATACATATTACCGGTGATAGTGACAACCGTATCGACGGCTAAGATCTCATAAAACAAAAACTTGATTTGATTACTCTACTCACATATAAATAATGGATACTTATGTTTTTTTGTATAGACCCAATGATCTCATCGTAGATGACCTAGGAAGGTCATCCAGCTACAATATATTGTGTTCATTAATGCGCTGCTAGGTCGTTTCCGTGCTAATTCGTAAATGTTATCAGATTTTTTTTTTCGTTTTGATGTACCAGTCTTCTATTGAGACTGTTTAAATAGATCCCTATCTGTAAAATTGCCTTTTTGTATGGAGATTTTTGATGTAATGATTTCTGTTTAGATGAAGATTATGCCGGGAATAGGTGAAATAGTTTAAAAATGTGACGCCATCTGATAATACACGACGTGTCCTTGTTACTGTAAGTTTCATGCACTGAGTGTCCTCGTCAGGCCAAATATATTTTAACGAGGGTAGTTGAAAATATTGGACTATTGAAAATACCTTACATTAAACTTATATGCGATAATGAATATTTTGATTGGACCTAACACTAAGTGTAAAAATTTTCACCGCGTTAGTTTGTATACACTTTATCTTCATGCTATCTCCTTTGAAAAATTTATGCCCGTTTTCACTATAAGTCGCCCAAATCTGTAGCCTAAATATTTATGAATCGCCTAAGGTAAGAATGCATTTCACCATCAACTAGCAACCATCTAACGAAATTAAGCAATATCTAAAGTTATGATATTCGTTAGGCGGCGCCTAGCGCTAGTCATTTGTGTATATGACAAGTCATAAATATGTCAAGGGATAAAAGAAAAAAATATTTATTTGAAATCAAACTAATCTGCTTAGGCGATTTGTAATATAAGGCGTTTCCTAGATAAGCTATACCTTGTTCTAGGATAATAAAAATGGGTGTGAATGATTTTATTCTTAACAAAATGTAGCTATCTTTTTTAATGTATTCCTTTTCGTTTCCAATTCTATCCATCAACATAGTCTAGCATTTTTTTTTGTTTATGTATGCGTTTTGTTCCATCTAATACTATACGGCTTGACGATCCCTTTCAATTTGTTTCTCACTAATTTCAATTTAACATACCTACTTATTCTTTACTTTATAGTTTCTCGCCGTTCTTTTTATCTTTCTCCACATATCTTCCTCCCCTTCGTATGATTTCTTTTTCTTTCTTCTTTCAGATTAACATTTCGACTAGCAACTGAGTCTCAGGATTGCAAAATTATAATCATTTCAGTCCTTTATAAAATTATAAAGGTAGCCTGAATATATAGAAACTACCAGATAAATACCTATTTCTTTCCTGCCCTGCGATTCTGTAAAACTTCAAACCCGAATTCGAATTCTCTCAGGTGTCCGAATTGACTTCAAAAAGAGGCATACGCTCAACCTTGAATTGGTAATAACGTTTCGTAGCATAAGTGAAGTGAGTTTCGAAATGATATAGGAATAGAATATCTGAGACACGTGTATTCAATCAATTTTGTTTTGTATTTTTATAAAAAAAAATGGAATCAATAGAATTTTTACACTAAATGACGTGAATTCGGACACATGAGTGAATTCGAATTCGGGTCTAGATTTTTAAAGAATCGCAGGGCTAATGAGAGATTTTAATAAACCCGTTATTTGAAGACCTTAATAATGACAGTTATTAAATGAAATCCGCTCCCTCGTTGCGTTGATTGCGCGAACGAGGAAACTTGCGCACGCGTGGGAATCCGATCTCATGCGCTCGCTACATACATACGTTTCCCGCGATCAATTCGATGGAAAAAGTCGCAGCCCAGCTATTCCGGTACGACCAGATACCGATACCGGCTTTCTCGTCGCCACTTTGTTCATTAACTCATACCATGGGAAATACACCGTTTCTAAAAATCTATAAGCGTTTGAACTATGAGAATGTTCAGACTATGCACATACGAATGCACAATAACCACACCGAGGAATGCGATAACAAAGACGAGGCTTTTGAACGGCCCTCTCTAGGATGTAGACTTTTTGGAATATTAATGTAGATGTAACACGGAAGTAATGATTCATTATGGCATTATGGCCCCGATACACTGTAACCGGCACCGTAAATAAATCGATGTCGTTCCGGAGATAACACCGTGACATTTAAATAATGAATGGCGGAATTTACCGGTTGTTGTCGGCAACTGAAACATTCGCTTTCCACGAACTCGATAATTAATAATATTATGAAGACTGTATTACTTGAAGATGATCGTTTGTACTTGATTTAATCAGTGTGTAGGTAGCAATGAGAATTAGCGATGTGTATAAAAAGTGGTTCCTCTTTACGTCATCAGGGTAATGAGTGGTGCGCTGACGATGATTGTTAGTCATCCAGTTAGCAAGTATCTGATAAATAGGTACATTGTGTACGCCGTCCATGAAATAACTTGCTATTGTGGAAAACACAGATGGCTTGCTCTTGTATATTAATTAAGAAGTGGAACGATTTTTTTCCATATAAAGCCAGTTGGAGCTCGGCGGTATTACTGGTTCCCACGGCGAACGTAAAACAATACATTATACACGAAAATGTATTCATTGCGGCATCCTGTCTAACAATTGTGGTTTTTTTATTACTAATCAATGTTTCGTTTCTTTAATTTTTTTTTGCTGTTAATAATTTTAGATCTCCTGATGGAATATTTCTGAGACGCGTTCATTATTATGTAAATGTACTTGTGTGCGTGCTTCGTATGCGAATTTAATGGTAAAAAAAAGGAATCGATACTGCTGAAAAATCACACAAAAAATATCTACAATAAAAAATATTCTCGTCTGAAATATATCAAAGCCACTATAAATAAGGTATTTTTTAGTTCATGGCTTTATGTCCTCTATGGAGCCATAAATATAAGATCAAATAAAAAAAAAAGAATGTTGATTTAAATGAGGGCACTGGAAAAGACATATTTACTTTCTTTCTTCTTTCATTTATTCAATATATGATATACCACCAACATACATAGCGTTCAAAATCCATAACCCTTGCATTTGCTTTTTGTCTTAGTGTCGGGTAAAAAGTGTACTAGTTCGTAACATTTTGAATGAACTTTTGTTTACCTACAATACTATGTAAAAAGAATACAGCGGCCATTGAACTGCGTGTGTAATAGCGGTGATTGGGCAAATTGTCTCGTAGCGCAACTACGTTTTTGCAGTCGTAAGGCCTTGGGTAACAAACTCATTCATCACCGGTGAGCGGCGCGAGGCATCGGTGCGTCGGAGCCGCCGCCGCCGCGCCGCTGGTGTCTGCTAGTGAATGGGGCCTCCATTCATGCGATTGTAGCGCTTGCGCACCGCACCGCACCACGTCAGGCGCGCCGTTCACCGTGCGAATTCACGCCAGCTCATTTGTTAATGAAACCGCGTCCATCCTCATCACTTCAATCAATGAAACTGAAAGTCACTAACATTCTCCGGATCTTGAGACCGTTGCTCGTTCACTACAAGTGAGCATGCAACATAAATGTTATGTAGTTATCAACATAACTATACTGCTGTATTCAAACAATGTAATAAGAAGAACGTTTATATTATGTAGTTAAT